ACTAGTGTTAGCATGGTATCTCTTTCCCTCTTTTTTCTTTTAAAGTTTGCTGAATTTCTGTTCAGTCCTTTTCCCCCCACTCTGCTTCATTTTGGATCATTTCTATTGCTGTATGTTGACATACACTGGTCTTTTCTTCTCTACTCTCTCATCTGCTGTTAGTTCTATCCAGTTCATATATTATGTATTTCATCTCTAGAAATTCCATTTGGGTTTCATTTTTACATTTTTTATTTCTCTTCTATGTTTTCTTTTTTTAAATTTTATTTTATTATGTTATGTTAATCACCATACATTACATCATTAGTTTTTGAAGTAGTGTTCCATGATTTATTGTTTGCATAACACCCAGTGCTCCATTCAATACATGCCCTCTTTAATACCCACCACCAGGCTAACCCATCCCCCTCCCCCTCTCCCCTATAGAACTCTCAATTTGTTTCTCAGAGTCCATAGTCTCTCATGGTTCATCTCCCCCTCCGATTTCTCCCCCTTCATTTTTCCCTTCCTACTATCTTCTTTTTCTTAAACATATAATGTATATTTTATTTCCTTGAGCACCTTCATAAAATTTGTAACAGCTTGTTCAAGGTTCTTGTTTACAAATTTCATCATCTATTATTTCTAAGTATATTTCTATTGACTGACTTTTCTAGTCATAGGATATATTTTCCTATTTCTCTGCATCCCTGTTAATTGTTTACTGGATGCTGGATGCTGCAAATTATATGATTTTTGGGTGCTGGGTTTTTTTTTATTCCTTTAAGAAAGTGTTTGGTATTTTCTGCCTTGCAGTTATATTACTTGAAGTTCAAATTAAACTTGATTCTTTTTGAAGCTTGCTATTAAGCTTCTCAAAGGTGTTGCAGGGTAGCCTTTATTCTGGGGATAATTTAGTTTTGCTAAGAAGTGTCTGTTCTGTGAACTCTCCCTGGAGCCTAATGTATTGTGAGATCTCATTCTGGCTTGTAAGAACACAAACTGTTCCTCACCCTTACTAAACTCTGCTGCTTTCCACTGATTTTCCTTGATATCAGGGATTGTCCTACATATAAGAAGACCCATATTCTGTAAAGGATAAGAGAGGATTTCTTTGCATATGTTCAGACTTCTCTTGTTCTGTACAACTATCTCCTCTCTTGATATTCTGCCCTGCAAATTCTACTTGCCATGGTCTCTCTGAGCTTTGATCTCTTTCTCTGCAACTCAATGAGATCACTGGGCTCTTTCTTCTCTCCTTGAGATGTGGCCTGGAAACTCTTTGAGGACTTAATCTGGGGCAATCATAAGACTCACCTCATTTGTTTCCCCTCTCTCTGAGATCATAATCTATTGCACAATGTCTGAAAATTGTTGTTTTAATGTATTTTATCCTATTTTCTGGTTGTGATTAAGTTATAAATTTCTCATGGGCAGAAGTGAAAGTCAGTGGTAGATTACTTTAATTTTCATTTGTTTATTAGGTGACACTGGATTTTTTTTAAATACATTTATTGGCCTGTAAGTTTTCTTCTTCTATGAGTTGCTTGTTTATAATTCTTACAGATAGTTTTTTTCTTTTAATTTGCCTCCCTAGCATATGAAGCTCCTTTTTAAGTGCAGAATTCCTGGTTCTTTGAATCTTGGTGTGAATCAATAGTGGCAGTAACATTTAATGTCAAGGATTATGGGAGGACATGGTATAGTTTTAGCATTCAGTAACAGGAGTGAGTGTTAGATGTGCACCCTCAGCATTCAGGAGACCATGTCTTTTTGCTCGGCTTTTTTGGTGGTTAGAGGAACTGCCCAGAGGACATACAATAAATTTTATTTATTCTCAAATCAGCAGTAGTTGGATGTTGTTACTTCCAACTAAGAGTATCAGCTAGGTTAATATACTTGACTCATTTCCCCCCCCCCCCCATTGGCTCGTCTTATTGAATTTCAGGAATTCGATATGTATCCTAGATACATATCACTTCTTCCTGGTGAATGCTTTAAAAAAAAAAAACAAAACTATATTGAGAGTATCTTCTTTTTTTCATTTTTTATTTTTTTAAGATTTTGTTTCTAAGTAATCTCTACAACCAACCTGGGGCTCAAACATACAACCCCGAAATAAAGGGTTGCATGCTCTTCCAACTGAACCAGCCAGGCGCCTGTATTGACAGTATCTTTTAATTAATATTCAAGTTTATCAATATTTTCTTCTATAAGTTGTGCTTTTGTAATTAGAAAATTTATTCCTACCCTGAGAGAATAAAAATAGCCTCTTTTATTTATTTATTTTGTATACTTTGATCTTTGATCTTATCAGGCTCTGAGATAGGGATATAATTTTTTTTTTTTTTTTCTGGTAGGAAAGCCAGTTGTCCCAACCCCATTTATTTTAGTGTTTTCCCTACTCATCTGCAATGCCACCACTATCTAATAGTAAATGCTTTTATGTACTTGAGCATGTTTTTGAATCCCTGTTCTCTTTTCGTCCTCTATTTTTCTACTCTTATGCCAATTCACACTGTTGATTACTCTAACTTACAATCAGTATTGATACCTGATAGGGCAAGTGCCCCAATCTGTTTTCCTTGTCCAAGTTGTCTTTGCTGTTCTTGGACTTATATTCTCTAGTTTGTCTACACAACACACACACACACGCACGCGCACACACACATCCTGCTTAAATTCTGATTGGATTTGCATTGAATCTGTGGATTTAGAGGCTACTTACCATTATTATGATACTAAGTTTTCTCCTATATGAATATGGGTTCTTCTACTTTTTGTAAACTTCAGTAAGATTTTGCGATTTTTACTATATATTTTTGGTTTATTTCTAGTTACCTTATATTTTTATTTCTATTGTGAATGATACATTTTCTTTTGTTTCAGTGTCTAGTTGGTTATTGTTGGTTTATGGAATGTTTCTAATTTATTGTATCAGCTATCCTGTCAGACTTTTTTATGATTTCTAGTAATTTGACTATAGAGTCTCTTTAATTTTCTGTGTATTTGCAAATATGATTTACTTGCTTTGTTTCCAATTCTTAAGGTTTTTTTTCTTCTTCTTTTGTTTTATTGCTTGGGCAATAATACAAATACATTATACATTATACAATGTTAAATAAGGGTAATGGTAATAGGCATTTTTATGTTTTTCTTAAACAATGAGAATATGTCTAAAGTTTTAGCATTAAGCTTAATGTTGGCTCAATATTTTGAATAGATAACCTTTTCTATAAGTTAAAGAAGTTCCTTTCTATTTCTACCTTGAAAGGCCATTGAATTTTTCAAATGGTTTTTCTTTATATCTTCAGATGATAATATGATTTCTGTCCTTTAATTGACATTTGTTATATACCAATTTACACTGATAGATTTTTATGATACCGACCATAATTTGAAATCTTGTGATAAATCTAACTTAGTCTACACATTTCTTCCATTGCACCATTTAGTAATATTGTACTTAGGATTTTTGCACTGATGTCCATTTTTAAGTTTGGCTTATAATTTTTCTTGTATTTTACATGTTTTGTTTTCATGTAAGGATTTTACTACCTTTTAGTATAAATTACATAATTTTACATTTTAAAAAATTCTCTAAAATAGTTTGTATAAGAAAGAGATTTTGTTCATTGAAAGTTTGATAAAATCTCATCTGGAAGCCCCTTTGGGCCTGGATGTCTGTTACCTCCTGGGGATGAGATTTTTAATTATTGGTTTAACTTTTTAAATGCTTATTATACTATTTATGCTTTCTACATATTCTTGGGTAGATTTTGATGATTTATAATTCTCTGTAAAAGTTTCCATTTCATCAAATTTGTCTAAAGGTACTTACTTCTAAAAATGATAGTTGGGTCCGTGGCCGTGCCCTTTTTCCTTCTTAATGTTAATTAAATTGAGTAGTGAAAGACGTTTGCATATTTTTAAGTCCTTTTTCAAAGAACTAATATTTGATTTTGTTGATTTGTTGTTTTAAATTGTTTTCTGTTTGCTGTATTTCTTTATGATGTCTTACTTTCTACTTTTTTGGGGGTTTCCTCAGTTTTACTTGGCCTTTATGATTAAATATAAAACTCATTTTTGTCCTTTTTTTCTGCTTCTGTTATAAATGTATTTAAAACTATACATTTCCACTTTAAATACTGCTTTAGTTAACTTTCATGTTAGTTTTGATGTTTTTTCATTGATATTTCATAATATATACATATAAAATTAACTCGTGTTATAATAGTTCACAATTTCTTTTTGTCCTTTTTAACACATTAATGAATGACCTTCTTTGTTTCCAAAGTATATGTTTACTATATATATTTTTTTACTATATTTGTATTGTTGATTTTGTAATATGTCATGTCACAAAATTTCTAAACCATAATAGTTAGGGCTGCCATGATATAGGGAACAGTACTCTGAATGCTCATTCCAAAATCAAAGAAAAATATCTCCTTTGGCTTCTATATGAAATATTCTGTGCAGTGAAAATAACAGGCTAGCAATGATCCTATAATAAAACCAGCAATGACTTTCCTAGGGAGGATTCATATTTTATTCTTCAATAAAGCCTGAAATGACTTTCTATATACATTAACATATTGCTAATTTATTTATTATTAATAATTCAGGAAGTTAAGGTGAGATTTATGTAGCACACTGTTCTTTATCTAAGAAGTAGACCCTGAAAAACAGAAGAATTATCTTATGTGATACCCAGTGCATAGGTTCTGGAAGTTGTGTATATTTAGGATTTACCTGAAGAGTAATACAGAAGTAGGAACAAAGGGACCGCTCAAAAATTAACTTTCTGAGGATGATCCTAGAAGAAGGATCATGTTTGCTATGTTATTTTTTTAAAGCAGGGAGAAAAATGATTAATATAGGAGATAAAGATGAGATGACTGTACAATAGGAAAAGTAGGCGAACATTCCCCTTGTGTAGCTTGGGTTTTCTCATTAAGGCACAACCTTTCTCTGTGTAACCCTTTGCATTTGATCAATTCTTCCCTTCTCTTTTTCAGGAAAAAATAAGAAGGTACATGGCTGTGATTCAGAAGACATGATTTCCAGGGAGACTTTGCCTTCATCAAGTGAGGAAAAGACACCTAAATCAGTGACTCATGAGGTAAAACTAGAAGAGGGATCTCTGCTAAATGATTGTGGCTACTGTGGAATCACAGAGTAAGCTCTCTAAGGCATAGGGGGGGTCTATTTTGTTCTCCTTAGCACACTAACTCTCAGTTCTCTGTCCCTCTGATGTTGAAGACAACCAAAATAGCAATTAGAAAGAGTGGAACTCTTTGCAACTCTAAAGAAAACCTCTTGATACTATTCTGGAAATTTTACTTATTTTGGCATCATTTTCTTTTGTGCTACTAATAGAGATACAAAATGAATTTCATATAAAATTTGAAGCACCTTTAGATATATTGATTGATGGAATTTTTAAATGATAGAGACCCCATGGTACAGTGTCTCTAAACTATGGAAAGGTAGAGGGTTGGGAAAATCTGGGGCAAACACTCTCACCTTGACACGTGTCTCCTTCCTTGTGGAGATAACTGCCAGGATTAGAGCACAAAAAAAGCAATGCATTTTCATCACGTGGGTGGCTTGCGTTTTTTCCTCTTATCTACTGGAGCTTTGGGACTGCCATCGTGTTGCTGTTTTCAGACTCACATTCTATTCTGTAGGTTCCAGCATTACTAGAGATCAGAGTAAGTACCAAGAACAGACACCGCTTCTCCCGTTTTCCAGTTTGGCTGCCCTCTCCACCCAGGACTGACAGTCATGCTGCTGCTTTGAAGGGATCTCTCTTATAGGAATCTGTGCTGCATCGAGCCCACCTACCATCACATCTCTGGCTGGCAGTCTCTAATTCTGAATGTACTGCTGGGCTCTCAGCCCCACTGTTGATACTTTTCTCTGATCAGAATGATTTTGTATTTGAAGGAGAGAGAATTTCAAAGTGAGCACTTCCATAGAATGTCCATACTTGACTCTCTTCTAGAACTAAATACATTCTATTGTTTGTTTGTTTTCCCCTATATTTCATGGCTTGACCTAGCTAGGATGAAGTTTGATATGCTTTAAAGTTTCATTTTAGAAAAGAGTATCTTAGAGAACATTTCTGGATGGTTTTTAGAGTAGCATGTTGGGAAAACCAGCTGATTTTACCAGGATTTGCTTTTCTTAACATTTCATGAATTAATTTGATGTTATAACTACACTTGATGCCCTTTCAGTTATGATGCTATCCCTAGGAATTATCTAGACTCAGACTTACAGATGATTAGATTTGGAAGCTAGGTCAAGACATTTTTATTCCAACACTCATTTTAGAGGTGAAGAAACTAAGTCCCAGAGAGCTGAAATGATTTGTCTGTGATCGTACAGCTCTTCAGTCACAGCAAAGACTAGAAACCAGGCTCCTATCTCCTAGTATTACTGCTCCTAGTATTACTCCTAGTATTTATACTTTGTCCTCATATGTCCTTGGCATATATATGCAGTGCAGAAAAGCTAACTTAAGTTCCTCAGAAAAAGTTATTTGGCCCTTTCTTTAATTTGACATTAATTTGATTCAGTGAGCAGTCTCCAAAAAGACCTGACATCTTGGTAGTTTGGTATATTTCTCCTTGCGCCTTCTTAACGTTGTTAGCCAAATCACATTTCACTCAATCAAAGACATATTAGAGTCCTAAGTGAGGCTTTAATTTGAATTGCAGCCATCTAAAGCAGTTTGCTTCTTGGATAAATGTAATCAAGTTGATTTTGAAGTGTGACTTGAAATATGTCTCAGGTTTAAATTATGGGAGGAATTCTCGCCCAGGTGATGTCACTTTTTCTTAGTAACTGAGTTATAAGAAAAGGGCTTTTTAAACATGTCTTGTTGGAGATGAGAGGGATTGTAGTGGTGCAATAGTACTATTCTCTTTTCCTCCATCCCATTTTATTCATAATCTTCACGTTCCTTTTTAATTCTCCCGAAATTAGTGTTTAAGGATTCGTTTTACCAATTAGTGTTGATAAACTAGTTTTCAGGACTAGGCAAACTCTGTAGAACTCATTCAATTTGTTGGTCATCTGTGTAGTTTAATGAAATCTTTGGGGGACACCCTTGATTTTTTTTTTTAAGATTTAATTTTTTTTTTAAGATTTTACTTATTTATTTGTCAGAGAGAGAGAGAGAAAGAGAGAGCGAGCGAGCACAAGCAGAGAGAGTGGCAGGCAGAGGGAGAAGCAGACTCCCGGCTAAGCAAGGAGCCTGATGTGGGACTTGATTCCAGGACCTTGGGACCTGAGCCAAAGGCAGATGCTTAATCAACTGAGCCACCCAGGTGTCCCTTCCCTTGATGTTTTATTTTTTATTTCTTTTTAAAGATTTTATTTATTTATTTGACAGAGAGAGAGAGAGAGACAGCAAGAGAGGGAACACAAGCAGGGGGAGTGGAGGAGGGAGAAGCAGGCTTCCCACGGAGCAGGGAGCCCGATGCGGGGCTCAATCCCAGGACCCCGGGATCATGACCTGAGCCGAAGGCAGATGCTTAATGACTGAGCCACCCAGGTGCCCTCCCTTGATGTTTTAAAGTAAAAGAATTAAAATACACAGAGCAACACTAACAAAAGAGAACTAATGTAGCTATAGTAATATCAGACAAAAAGACTTAAAAGTATAAAGTATTATGCTTTAGAGGTCACTATATAATACTAAAAGGTTTAGTTCACAAGGAAGATATAAAATTCTAAATTTATAAGCACCAGAATATGTAAATCAGTATTGGACAGAATTATAACAAGGAATTGATAAGTTCACTATGATAGTGGACCATTTAAAAAGATACCTTTTATTAAAAGAATAGATAATAGTTAAGAGTATAGAATTATAAAAAAATTATCCAGATAGATAGAACAAACATATCTATAGAACTTGCATCCAAAAGTTAGAGAACATACATTCTTTTCAAGCATACATGGACCATTTATAAAAATTTACCATGTACCAAATCAAAATATATCTCAGCCAATTTCAAATCATCTTTATAGTACTGACTATGGCCTCTGACATGAGAAATTCAGTTGGAAGTCAACCACAAATAGATAAAACACACTCAAGACATACTCAAAACTCATGGGTCAAAGAAGAGGTCATAGTGGAAATTTAAAATATTTATAATAGAATAAATACAAAATTACAGTATATAAAAATGTGTGGTTTTCTCATTATACAGTAGTTAGCACATATATACCAAATATCAAATTATTTACCATAATAGATTACACCGTTACATTTACAATGGTACCAGCTATAAAGTATGTGGGAGTCAATCTAAGAAAAGGTATGAATTACTTTTCTTGAGAATATTTAAAAATATTTTGTTGTTATAGCTATATCATATTAATGGATAATAAGTTTTAATGAATGAAGAAAATAGTTATCCCTAATTTATTTATTTATATTTTTAGGGATTTATTTATTTATTTTAGAGAGAGAGAGCAGGAGGAGGGGCAGACAGAGAGGGAGAGGGAGGGAGAGAATTTCCTGCAGACTCCCCACTGAGCATGGAGCCTGTTGTGGGGCTCAATACTACGACCCTGAGATCATGACCTGAGTTGAAATCAAGAGTCGGATGCCCAAACAACTGAGCCACCCAGTGTCCTAGTTATCCCTAATTTAAACTACAAAATGAGTTTAACTTAATTTCAATAAAATTTTCAATGTGTGTGTGTGTGTGTGTGTGTGTGTGTATGAGATTTGATGAGCTGATTAGAAATCTTTTGGGAAAATAGGAAGTCAAAAAAGGCAAGACAGGTTCCAGGGGAAAGATGGCGGAGGAGTAGGGGACCCTATTTCAACTGGTCCCCGGAATTGAGCTGAATATCTACCAGACCACTCTGAGCACCCACGAAACCAGCCTGAGATGTAAGAAGATCTGGATCTCTACAAACAGAATATCGCAGGCGGTTGGTTGTGAGGTACAAAGCGGAGAGCCGTGATTCTGCGGGCAGATATCGGAGGATAAACGGCAGCGGGAGGGTGCCCGGAGGTGGGGATCCTACACCGCCGGTGAGTGACAGCCTCGCGCGCTGTGAACGGGGCACAGACTCGCAGACTGGTAGCATCGGGAAAGGACTTTAGGGCAGCCCCCGGGGTGGAAAACCAGACCGGCGGGGTCGCGTGCACGCGAACTGCAGCCACCTGGACGGAAGTCCGGAGTGACGGTCGCACACACGCGAACTGCAGCCTCCGGGACGGAAACCCGGTGCGCCGGGGTCCCACCGGTGAACTGCAACCTCCGGGGTGGAAACCCCGAGTGGCGGAGTTGCGTGCACGCAAACTGCAGTCCCCGGGACAGGACCCCAAGCGGTGGAGTCGTGCGCGCGCGAACTGGGAGCGGCTGGTGGTTTTAGAAGCACAAAGGGCAGAGACGTGCCCCGACCTGGAGGCAGGACTGGGGGCGCTGCCGAGGGACGCACAACCCAGGCCGTTGCAGTTTATAGCAGCATGGACAGAAACGGAGATGGTGTGGCCTGGAGAGCCCACTGAAGAACAGAATGAGGTCTCTCTGCTCTGAGGCAGAGGGTTGGAAATGGTCTCTTCTACTCTGACTCGCAGAAGAGACGTGGAAAGCCACCAGGGAAAGGTGCCAGAGAACAAAAGCCCCAAAGACTGATTCCCACTGAGCCCATCCCCCGCCACAGGGGAGCAGGGCAACTCCGCCCAAACAGGGTTGCCTGAGTAACAGCACGGCAGGCCCCTCCCTCAGAAGACAGGCTGGGAAAACAAGAGGCCAGCAACCCTAAGGTCCCAAGAAAACAGGTGCATCTTGCTTGGGTTCTGGTCAATAATTTGGACTCTATACATTCCCTCAAACACCCATCAACAGAATGACTAGGAGGAGGAGCCTCCAAAACAGAAAAGACTCAGAGATTATGACTTATGCTGCAGATTTACAAATGGATGCAGATATAACCAAGATGTCGGAGATGGAATTCAGGCTAGTAATTGTGAAGACAATGTCTAGAATGGAGAAATCAATTAATGGCAACATAGAGTCTCTAAGGGCAGAAATAAAAGGGGAATTGGCAGAACTTAAAAATGCTATCAATGAGATCCAATCCAAT